ATTCCCAGGAACTCCGTCCTGTGGAACGTCTTCCGCCCGTCTCCTCACCCTTTAAGAACCGACTTTTTAACTGGGGATTGCAAATATCCCTTGTTGCCGCACTTCACTTTTAATCGCGCACCACACTGTTGTTAAGCAATTAAATTCAAAATAAAATTGTCGACCAATCGTATGGAATTGACTTTAAAATTCTAATAGTTTTTTTCCGAAAAATAAGTCACGTATCGCAATTTAACAGGGTAGATCAAACCTGCGTGTTTTTCCGAATCACTTCGGTGCTGCGTGATCAGCTTGACAACGGCGGCCGGGCGGCAAAGCGTCACAGAGAGGCGCCGGGATTGGAGTTCTTGCTTCGATGCGCTACCTGCTGCCGGGTTTCCCAACGCGACGATGGTCAAAATTTCCTTCCAGGCTTACCTTTTCTTTGGAATGCAACATGCCGCGTGCTTTCCATCGGGTTTTGTTTCGATCCTCGGGAAAAGCGGGATTGCTATCTGGTCGAAATTCCTTTACTTATTTCGGAATCCGCGTCTTCGAGTTTTTCTCGAGTTTTGAAAGTCGTGTCTGGGTGTTCGGAAGCCGGATGCTTCCTTCCTGGAGGTTTGAAAACCGAGTGCTTTCATCCGAGCCAATTTTGAGTAGCGACTTACTTCACTTTGGTGCAAAGAGTGACGAACTTGTTGCGGGAGGATGTTTAATTGCACTTGAAAACACAATCCACGAAACCGAATGAATTATCCGACGAGAGGACCAAAAAATCTGCGAGCGGGAACGCAACTGGTGGAGTCCTTCTCAATTTAAACGTTTTATTTGCATTTTTGTACACACACGAAGAAATTATTGGGTTATTGGATTTTTAAAGAACTTCTGCGCATTACGATAACACCACGGCAACTGACGAGGCTGGCGCGCGGGCGCGACTTTGATACGCAGCCAGGAATTTTGCCAATGTCAGTACAAAATAGAATAGAATACTTTTAATTGCATTAGAAAGTGATACAATAGTTATTGATAATGAATTATGTATAATAAATATCAGGAAAGATGACGATTACGTCGCAATGATAATACCAGCAAATGCCATAATAATAATAATAATAATAATAATAATAATAATAATAATAATAATAATAATAATAATAATAATAATAATAATAATAATAGATAGATAGATAGATAGATAGATAGATAGATAGATAGATATCGTTTATTGACCAACTATAAATACATGTATTTGTGAAGTCGAAACTCAGTAATATAACAAAATAGAAATAACAGCAACAATAACAAAAAGAAGAAAATATAAATACAACAACAATTTGATAAATTTAACAAGAAATAGAAAAAATAATACGTATATAAACATATGTTTATAGAAAAAAAAATTATAAATAAAAATATTTGCTTGAGTTAACAGTATACACTATATTCTTGGGATATGCGATAGAAATTCCTCAAGTGAGTAAAAACCATAACTGGAAAGATAGCTTCTAACCGATAACTTAAATTTTCTTATCGTAAATTGCTTAGCGTTAGCTTTATACAAGCGGTTATAGTTGTTCACAAATATGTTATATATGTTCAAATTTAGTTTATTTTTCTGAGTAGTGGCTAATCTAGACTTAAGTGGAACAATATTGCTAGATCCGCGTATGTCGTAGCAGTGGTAGTCACCATGAGTAGGATACCTCTGCAAACCAGCATGGACCTCCAGAAGGTTGTAATATATGAATAGGGAAGGCAGAGTTAGAATCTTAAATTTAATGAAAAACTCACGACAATGTGCTCCAGGAGGAGCCCCTTGGAGAATGCGAACTGCTGCCTTCTGAAGCCGAAAAACCCGATCAGCATCTGAAGAGTTACCCCAAAGAAGCACGCCATAGGTCAGATGACTGTGAAAGAGTGCAAAGTAGATAGTCTTTAAGGTCTTCTGCGAAATGCAGTCTTTTAATTGCCTTAATGCAAAGATTTGAGACGAGAGTTTGGAACATAGATACTCGATATGAGCCGACCAGGTTAGGAAGGTATCGAGAAAGATACCTAGAAGCTTAGCAGGCTGTGACTTTACAGCTCTTTTGTTGGATGTTATTAGCATTTTTTTCGTCTTCGATGTGTTAAGCTTAAGTTTATTGGCGGCGAACCATTGGTCAACCGCCTGAAGATCAGCGTCAGCCATCACCTTCAAAGTCGCAATATCCTTGTCCGAAGAGATCAAGGTCGAATCATCGGCAAATAGAATGCAGTTCGCCGTATCGACGGCCTTTACCAGATCATTAATATAAATTAGAAACAGGAGGGGACCGAGGATGGATCCTTGGGGAACTCCCCTATTAACCGTTACCATATTAGACTCGGTACCATTAACATATACATATTGCACACGGCCTTCCAAATACGATTCAATCCGACTCGGTGAATTGCCTTTGACGCCATAGTATTCAAGCTTTTGAGCCAGAATCTCAATGTCAACACTGTCGAAGGCCTTCGAAAGATCACACATGGTGACCGAGGCTGAGCGACCCTCATCCAGGTCTCCAACCACACTGTCAATCAATCAAAGTAGTTTATTAAATTGTCTTTAATTATAATTTCAAAAATTTTACTTACTACTAGAACAATTGCAATTGGTCTGAAATTATCTAGATTTTCTGGATCCCCTTTTTTATGCAAGGGCAAAATCTTTGTGATCTTAAGTTTTTGGGGGAAAACCCCCTCCTCCATGGATTTATTAATAAGTGAGGTAATGGGTCCTAAAAGTGAAGTTAGACATTTTTTGAAAATGCTGGCATTCAATATATAATAGTCCAGACACTTTGAATTTTTAAGTCTGAGTATGGCTTGCCTTACATCAGATTCCAACACTGGTGGCATAAAAAAAGAGAATGGTGGTTTTGGGAAACGGTGCAAAAAACTCAAGGCACTGGTCGACGGTGTGGCTATACTGTTTATGATATTAGTTGGAATCGATGAGAAGAATTTATTGAAAGTGTCTGACAAAATTGTGGTAGATATTATTGCATTTTTATTTGTTTTCCTTTCGAAATTAACAATTTTCCACGTAATTTTGGAAGTATCCTCCGAGGTAGTGTTTTTGTTTTCTTTAATAGCCCGTTTATAATCCCTATGGTAATCTTTATATCTATGCCAGTCAAGGGTGATTCTAGAACAATTATACGTTCTTTTTAAGTCATAAACACGCTTACGCATTTCTCTCAGTTCATTAGAAAACCACACTAAAGGGCAGCGGTGCTCCTTAGCTTTAGTAAGGGGGAAAGATGCTTTTGAGAGTTCAGACAGGGTATTAATAATAGAGGTGCACATGTCATTAGCATTCTGAGCATTCCAAATCTGGTCAGGCCAACAAACTCGAGACAGTTTATCGATAAAGACACTTATTGATTTATCATTAACTAATCTAAAATAGTCATTATTCTTATTATTATTTATGGAGTTTGATGTTACATTAACCTTAATAATCTGACCAAAGTGATCCGATAAAGTAGGATCACAAACACTAACATTTAAATCACGAGAAGGAAAATTCGAGACTACGTTGTCCAAGCAAGATACAGTTGACATAACATTTCTGGTGGGCTGATTCACAAAAAACTCCAGGCCATAGGACTGTATTAAATTTTTCAATTCAGATGACTGATTAGAAGTTGATGTTAGATCGACATTAAAATCGCCAACAATTATAATTCTGTCATACCTACAGAAAAGAAAGTTAATCATAGCATTGAAGTTGTCCACAAAAATAGAAAAATTACCATAAGTCGAAGATCTATAGAGTGTCACAAGTACCGTTTTAGTATACAGAACTTCTGCGGCGCAGAATTCAGCGTGGCTTTGAATGGAAAAATTCGACATATCTAAAGTTTTGTATTTCAGCCACGATTTCAAAAATATTGCTACTCCACCATGCTGGCTCGCCGGGCGACAGAATGAGGCTGCCAGTACAAAATCACCAACTTTAATGGAATTCAGTTCCTGGTTGCTCAACCAGTGCTCCGACACACACAGAATATTAACTCTGTTCAATGTTGTAAAAATTAAAATTTCATCTACCTTGTTGAACATTGATTGTACATTAATATGAAATAGGTTAAAAATATTTAAGTCCTTACAGTTTGTACGGTTCAGGGCAAAAGATCCCCCCTGTAAAGAAACTGGAATGGAATCGCCGTCACTAGTGCTGCCGGCCGTCTCCGCCCGCTCCAGAGGCTGATTTAGAAGCTGGTGTGACTGTGGCCGATCTAGGTGGAAAAAACCGGCTGATTTTTATCCCAACGGGTCAGATATCCGGGTTCAACATCTTTGATGAGTCGGTAGACGGCAAAGAAACCTTGAACGACGAATACTGATCCGGATATTTAGATTGCAACCTAGTGATTGTTGCGTCGACCGTGAGTTGCTCCAAATATCCAGACAGACTCTCCGGCGTTGTCTCCGGATCAAGCTTTGTGATGTGGAAGTGGTGCAGGTTCGCTTTGGTCGCCGCTCTCAGACTGCAAGAAGACGTGTCTACCGACTATGAGATCTCTTGCTCTGGGCATTTTTCGAAAACGAGGTCTTCTATTGTCACCGTTTGTATTTATTAAGTTGCTTGGAGTAACCGATGCTAATAATAATAATAATGATAATAATAATAATAATAATAATAATAATAATAATAATAATAATAATAATAATAATAGAATAGAATAGAATAGAATAAAACTTTATTAACCATTCAGATAAGTCACAAGAACAACAAATGGTACGTCAAGAGTATGGCAATTACATTGGTTACCGCAGTGGGAAAATATATAAAAAAACAACAACGGGTTGATACCCCAGGGAATGCCGCTCAGCTTGTCAACCCTGACCTGACCAGTCTGCACATGAGACCCTTCAGGAATGTCTTGAAAGGTACGCTGGCCTGGACCCGCTTAGTAGACCTAGGATACCCAGACTAAGGATAAATCAGGACACCAAGAACATACTTAAATCAATGAACAATGTCTTTAAAAATTAATAACTGTCATGACCTCACTGTTGTTCATGATTTGGCGTACTCCGCCGCTGTGGCAACCATCCTGCTCCATAGACAGAAATTCTCTCCCTCTAGCACTAACTCACCAAAGAAAACGCTTAAACTCCCCCCATGGCAGAGAAGACTAGAGGACAAAATTGCGACTTTGAGGAGAGAGATCGGTATACTCACTGAAACCCTTGAACCCAGAAAACCAAGTAAACGGGTCAAAAAGCATGCTGATAACGTGCAAAAAAAATACGGAGACTCTGGAAACCATACTGTGGTCGACATGTTGGATCTGCTAAAGCAGAAACTGCGGGTATACGCAAATAGACGCAGATACCAGCAATCATGGCATAGAAGAGTGGATAATAACCTCTTTAACCGGAGCCCCGGTGCTTTTTACAGAAACTTGGCGCCATCAACCACCGACGACAAGGGACAATACCCGGAACCAGAAAGTATCAGGGAATTTTGGAGTGGCATCTGGCAGGTCCCTTTCAATCACAAAGTTTCGGCTGAATGGATAAAGTGCGAACAAAAGAGGACCGAAAGAATAAAACTCATGCTGCCTCAAGTTATCGTCGTAGAGGACCTAAATGAAGTCTTGGCGAAAGCTAAAAACTGGAAAGCCCCCGGACCGGATGGGATACAGAACTTCTGGTACAAGAAATTCACCGCTGTAGGGTCCAAACTTGCTGACATCTTGAGCCTGATACTGAACAACCCTCAGTCTGCGCCACCCTTTCTGACGAAAGGGATGACCTACCTTCTCCCAAAGACAGATTAACCAATTAAAGATCCCTCAAAAATACAGACCCATAACGTGCCTGCCCACGATATACAAAATTCTCAATGGAATAATAGCTAATAAACTATACCAACACATGGATGATAACAATCTTTTGACTGAAGAGCAGAAGGGTTGCCGGCGGCATGCACAGGGGTGTAAGGAACAACTTGCAATTGACAACGTTGTCACCCGCAACGCAATAGCTTTCAAGAAGAATCACTTTACTGCATATATTGATTATCAGAAGGCATTTGATAGCACACTTGGCTGCTACAGTACCTCTCTGTCTATAAAGTCGACCCCAAAATCATCAACTTTCTCACACATGCTATGGACCAGTGGGAGACACAAATAATTCCGAGAGACCAGGGGGCGCAAGAAAAGCCGATCAGCATAAAAATCCAACGAGGTATTTTCCAGGGCGACGCTCTGAGTGCCCTCTGGTTCTGCATAGCGTTAAACCCATTCTCCTCCGCTCTCAATAATCCCAAACAAGGATATCCACTTAATAAAGAACTTAAGCTCTCCCACTTAATGTACATGGACGACCTCAAGATATTCTCGGACACCGAGAAGGAACTAAAACGGCAGCTCAGATGCATCGAGAACTTTTCAAATGATATTCGAATTAGGTTCGGTCTGGAGAAGTGTAAAGTTGGCAGACTTCATAGAGGAGAGTGGCGTCATATGGACGGCCATCAGTTTACACAACATAGTGGTGGTGGAAAAATAACGACGCTGGATAAATTTGAAACCTATAAATACCTAGGTCTTGCCCAGGCGCGAGGAATAGACTCTTAAAGTGTCAAGACGCTGCTCACCGAGAGATTCAAAGAGAGAGTCAAACACATCTTAAAAACAAGATTGGCAGGCCGTAACATGGCGACTGCAATCAAGTCCTACGCCGTCCCTGCAGTGGCGTACAGCTTCGGCATCGTCGATTAGACGCCGACAGAGCTTGATGATCTGAATAGAACCTTAAGGACAAGTCTAACTAAATTCCGCGCTCACCACCCACGAGCTGGCAGAGAGAGGGTACATCTACCTCGAAACATCGGAGGCAGGGGATTCTCGGATTTGCGAATATGCCACAAGACCCAGGTGGAGCGGCTGCAAAAATACTTCTATCAAAAAAGCGAGAGCTCAGCGCTCCACAGAGCAGTGACAGGTCTAGATAAATCACTTACACCCCTCATGCTGCAGGTCACACACTATCAGTGCGACCGTAAGTATTCAATTTTCGAGCTCGAGAACCAGTGGCGGGGAAAGGAACTACACGGCAGATACCCAAACTTGCTTGATAGTGCTGACCTTGACAAGCCCGCATCAGTTGGCTGGCTAACGAACGGCAACCTTTTCCCCGAGACTGAGGGTTTTATGTGTGCAATTCGGGATCAGGTCATACCCACTCGGTCTTATCTTAAACACATAATCAAGGACCCGACAGTAACAACAACGAATTGTCGCATATGTGGAGAGGGCCATGAGAATGTTGAGCACCTCATCAGTTTGTGCCGGATACTGGCCCTGAAGGAGTACACCACAAGACATGACAACGTAGCCAAGGTAGTCCATCAGGAAATAGCCTTCAACCTTAAACTTCTAAAAGAGAAGTGTCCGTACTACCGATACTCACCAGAATCCGTGCTTGAAAATGAGGGATTTATGATATATTGGGACAGAACTGTCCAGATCGATGAGAAATACCAAAGTCCCTCAGAACCAACCTGACAACACTCACCGTAAAACCAGGCGCCTACTTTGAAATGCAGAAGTCTGTGGTACTAGCTACCTGCAACATAATTAGAAGAGTTCTTAATCAACCTCAACTTCAATAGCGCTCATGTTTTGCTACTCACCTAGCCGACATGAGAGGACTCCATCTTCCGATGAGAAAAAAAAAATAATAAGCTGAACTGCTATCGGGGGCCGCCCCTGGCGATGGAGTACGCTCGTCAGTTTTTGGACTGAAGAGTATCGAGGAAATAAAACACCCGAGGTGGACAAAAATCAGCACACCGCGAGTTGTGGTAGCAGCTCAACTCGCGTGAACCGCGATCGCTGTCAGAACAAGGCGTAACAGGTACTCGGGCGTGGCAGAGGACCAGACTACCTCTGTTCGGAAGCGTCCCGAAGACCCCCAGTCTGCCGCAGGCCCCAGTGGAACGGGTGGCACTGACCTGCGAACGGAATCCACCAACACAAGCAACAGGAACGACCGAAACAACTCCCTTGAAGAACAAGTTCCGACCCCGCTAAATGTTGAAGACACGCAGCGTCTTCCCATGATCGGGGACAATATTAGGACGGTACGATTTAAATGGTCAGACGACATGAATACTTACCTTTATCGTACCTACCTACTCATAACCAAAATGGAGACCAATAAGAACCCATACGGCCACAGACTACATGAAGCAATGCTTCAAAGATTTCCCGCTCTACAGGGAAAAACCATCCAGAACATCCTAGACCAAAGAAGACAACTATTTGTAAAACACCGGCTTAAACCTGAAGTGATTCAAACTATGAGAAAAGAGGTGGCTCTAGAGCTGGGGTGGACAGACGATGTCGCAGCGGATGTTACAACCGAACAACGGGTTGATACCCCAGGGAATGCCGCTCAGCTTGTCAACCCTGACCTGACCAGTCTGCACATGAGACCCTTCAGGAATGTCTTGAAAGGTACGCTGGCCTGGACCCGCTTAGTAGACCTAGGATACCCAGACTAAGGATAAATCAGGACACCAAGAACATACTTAAATCAATGAACAATGTACTGTCTTTAAAAATTAATAACTGTCATGACCTCACTGCTGTTCATGATCTGGTGTACTCCGCCGCTGTGGCAACCATCCTGCTCCATAGACAGAAATTCTCTCCCTCTAGCACTAACTCACCAAAAAAAACGCTTAAACTCCCCCCATGGCAGAGAAGACTGGAGGACAAAATTGCGACTTTGAGAAGAGAGATCGGTATACTCACTGAAACCCTTGAACCCAGAAAACCAAGTAAATGGGTCAAAAAGCATGCCGATAACGTGCAAAAAAAATACGGAGACTGTGGAAACCATACTGTGGTCGACATGATGGATCTGCTAAAGCAGAAACTGCGGGTATATGCAAATAGACTGCGCAGATACCAGCAATCATGGCATAGAAGAGTGGATAATAACCTCTTTAACCAGAGCCCTGGTGCTTTTTACAGAAACTTAGCGCCATCAACCACCGACAACAAGGGTCAATACCCGGAACCAGAAAGTATCAGGGAATTTTGGAGTTTCATCTGGCAGGTCCCTCTCAATCACAAAGTTTCGGCTGAGTGGATAAAGTGCGAACAAAAGAAGACCGAAAGAATAAAACTCATGCTGCCTCAAGTGATCATCGTAGGGGACCTAAATGAAGTCCTGGCGAAAGCTAAAAACTGGAAAGCCCCCGGACCGGATGGGATACAGAACTTTTGGTACAAGAAATTCACCGCTGTAAGGTCCAAACTTGCTGACATCTTGAGCCTGATACTGAACAACCCTCAGTCTGCGCCACCCTTTCTGACGAAAGGGATGACCTACCTTCTCCCAAAGACAAATCACTCAGTTAAGGATCCCTTAAAGTACAGACCCATAACGTGCCTGCTCACGATATACAAAATTCTCAATGGAATAATATCTAACAAACTGTACCAACACATGGATGATAACAATCTTTTGACTGAAGAGCAGAAGGGGTGCAGACGCCAGAACGATCTCTTTACTGTATATATTATATACATAAGGGGCTAAATCAACGGAACTAGGAGCGACCTACTTCCTGTTAGGTGTCGTGTTCCGCAATCCTAAGCCCCCTACTTTTCGTGATATACATTAATGATGTCCCCTTGAACATCGCCCATCATGTTACGCTCTACGCAGACGATAGTGCCCTCCTTATAAGGGGGAAAGAATGCCATTCATCTGGCGGAAGAGTGTGTCCGAACAGAGGAAGTCGCGGAAAATTGGTTCAACTGCAACAATCTTGTTCTTAATCACAGCAAAACTCAGCGTATGACCTTCTCAGGCAGTAAGTCAGCCATCTAAATCAGGTCCCAATTAATCTATTGGGCGTCACACTGGATAGATCGTTGACATGGGAATCACATATCGAAGTCATTTGTAACAGATTGTCCACTAGACTTTACCTGCTGAGGCATCTTAAATCCTTTGCCCCAACGATCATGCTGAGGATGGCTTATTTTGGCTTATTTCATTCTTTACTGTCGTACGCAGTCCTAAACTGGGGCGGGTCTGTCCATGCAGTCAAAGCTTTCCGAATGCAAAAGAAAGCTATAGGCACAATTCACGGATCAACACCTCTGGCACATTGTCGCCCTATCCTCAAGCGGCGAAAAATCATGACAATTCCTAGTTTGTTCGTTTACCGTGCACTGACCTACGTCCATGAAAATATATATGCTTTTGAAAGACATTCTGACAGAGATGCACACAACACCAGACATCGTACCACCATACTATTCCAGACTGACGACCTCGGCAAGGAATAAGCCTCGCACCGACTTGTACAATGTTCTTCCTCAACATATCAGAGACTTACCACAGTCTAAATTCTCCAGAGAAAATAGACTATTTCTTGTGGAGCATGCTTTTTACTCAATTACAGAATACACCCTTTCGGCCAAACACATATATTTTATTATCTACCTATCTACCTATCGATATTTACGATTTCTGTTAAATTTTAAATCGTTTTCACACTTTATAGTTTATGTATTGTACTTTTGTATTGTATGGGATTTTTCTATTGTTTATACGATTTATTTATCCACAACCACAATTTGTCAGCGTTAATCTTTCTTTTTTCTTTTGTACTACTGACGCGCCATTTGTTGTAAAACCTTTTAATGTAAAAAATGGCTAAATAAATCTATCTATCTATTTATCTAAAACGGCAGCTCAGATGAATTGAGAGATTTTAGAATGATATTCGAATAAGATTCGGTCTGGA